TGAGGGTAATGTCTTCAACTAGATACGATTTGTGATCTTTTGACATATTTTTCATCAAAATCGGTTCAGTGAGAGCTGAGAAAAAGTAGTGACAGACAAAAAAAAAAAGAAAATAAACACATCATGGTAAAATTAAAACCTTCTCAGCTTCGCATCGAAGCTAACATATACGTTTTTATTTTTTTAGGGCTAAATAAGAACTTTTCAAACATTTTTGTATTTATACTTTTTATAANTCAAACATTTTTGTATTTATACTTTTTATAAAAAAATTGTATACCTACAAAAAAGGTCGAATAAACTTTTTCGCAAAAGCTAAAGTTTTTGAGATAGACATAAAAAACTAAAAAATCACCCTTAGGGGGTTATTTTTAACCCCCTTGGGGCACGTCTTAGAGTTGACCAATCGTCTCCAAATTTCGTACAATTTATTTTTTCATGTATCCGAAATATTCTAGTGGGTGGCACTTTGTATTTTTTAAATTTTATAAATAAGGGAAACGATAATATACACACATTTGTTTATAGCGATAATCAAAAACAAACAGATATAGGAATCATAAAATACTATTTCACATTACCAAAGAAATCAAAAATCACTTTATCATATATCTTATCACATATCTTACTATCTACAGATTTGTATCGAAATGTTTTTTATGATAGTGATTTTAATCACTGTCAGATATCATCTATACTGGACCCTACTATACAACGTCCCCACTATTCTAGGTTTTAGCTTCGATGCGAAGCTGAGAAGGTATTAATTTTGTCATTTTTTTCACTTTTTTTTCTTAAAACTTCCATAACTTTTTCAAAAAACAACAAATCAACTTAATATTTTTTTAAACTAAAACCTTAGATATTTCCCTTTCATTTGATATCATTTTTTTGAAAATTTAACACTTAACCTGCTCATGGGGGGGATTTAAAATTGCAACTTTTTTACAAAAACTAACTTTTTTAACTTGACTTTTGAAAATGTTCCGGAAATACTGCGTCCTTTAAACATATATAAAATTAAAGATTATTTTATGTACTATAAAATGAAAAAAAAAAATTTTGTCCCGACTCTTTATCTTTTGCATGTAAACGGTTGCCGTAGTTAAAAAAACACTATTTTTGTGTTAAAATTTTCGATTTTCGATTTTTAATTTTCAACTTAAAAATGCTATAATTTTTCGAAAAATGTATGTATCAGTACAAATTTTTTTTTTCTAAATATATTATAAGTACATCTTTCATTTGACATACTTTTTATTAAATTTAGACAATTTCCCCTTATATAGGGGGGTTCAAACTTTGAAACATTGTATAAAAATAGAACTTTTTCAACTTGTAACGTGACAAAAGTATCTTTCAAACAACTTTT